ATATCAATATTTTTTTTCGATAATTATAATTTTTTCGGTATTATTTTAAAAAATTTTTTTAGGTTATTATATATATATATATATATGAATTTAAGATTTTAAGATTTTAGATTTTAATTATATTTTTACTCCTTAGTTGTTAATATTAATAACACTAATATCTATTTTTTATCTTATATTCATACTATTTTTTCCTATTTTGTTGATAATTTTTAAAATTTTAAAATTAATATCAAATGTTTACTGCAAAATATATCAATTTGCATTTTTTTAAATTAACCGCAATATGCCTATATATGTTAATTTATTCTTCCTTTTCTTCTCTCCCCACGTTTTTCATTCCACCCCTGCTTCCAGATTTGCTTTTCATAAATTTCTCTTTTTTCTCTTTGTTTCGTATTCTGTGAGATGACTTATTAAATAGGTCAATGCCTGGTCCTTACTCACTCTTACTCTTAAGTATTTTAATAAAAATAGATTTAAAATTTTTCCTATCCTTCGACCATATCTGCGTTCTCCTCCTTCCCCTTTCCCTATCACCTTACATCAACTTAAAACTACCCCTCAAATGTGTGTAAGAATAATACGTAAATTTAAAAAGCATTTTTTATGCTTGGAAATATGATCTGTGGAACAAGCTAACACCACCTTCCTGGAAGAATAAAATATAATCAATGGACACTTAAGGTTACCTGCTTTCTAATTAAATTAGTATATATATATATATATATATATATATATATATATATATATATATATATGAAATAATAGTCTTAAGGTGTGCTATATTTATGGGATAAAGTGCTCAATATCAGAGATAGAGCGTGTGTAAATATAAAAGTGAACATAAAGTCAACACTTAGAGGCGACAGTCTATTTCATGCTATAATAAACAATGTAGCAAACCATTATGACCAAATATTAGTTAGACTAAAAAATCAAACCAAAAAATCGGACGGAAAAAAATAGCTAAAAAAAAAATAAATAAATAAAATAAAATAAAAATAATATATAAATAAATAAATACTAGGTTATTTAAAAATCGCAAACCGAAAATAGTAAATATACAAGTAAAATAAATTGACCTAAATTCACCCAAGTAAATAAATAAACAAACCAATCCCCGATAAAGTTACCGTTAGAAAAAACAAATAAAGATAATCAACCCAAATAAACACAAATTAAAAACTGTTCCTGCCAAAATAATAGTTAGAATAAACTACAACAACCAACCCCAAAACGGAACAAATAGCTTTAATTAAATTCTCAAACTAAAACAAAACTATTAAATAAGTGATATAAACAAATTTTTACTACGTTAATAAAAACACCGATTAAAATAAATAAATAAAATAAGAAACAAAAAATAAAAATAAATAAAAACAAGCAAAATAATTTAACCCAAATAATTAAATAAACGACTTCCGGTAAAATAACCGCCATAATAGACTACCCACAATGCACCACTGACCCGTATATATATAAGTAGCCGAGAAAAATAACAGCACACGTGGCCTGACGATTGCATATAGCATGAAACAGACTGCCGCCTCTAAGTGTTGACTTATATATATATATATATATATATATATATATGAAGAAAGAGATAGAACAGATGGAGTTAAAATCCACAGTATTATGTCTCCTCAAGAAGTTTCCGTAGTATAAAATTTTGAAAAATTCTTAAAAGTATTTTTTTTTTGCTCAATGTCTACTTCTTCAAATCTGAACCACGTATTTGGCAACACGATGTTCGCTGCTGACTTGTCTAGAGTGTCAGTTTATCAAGACATGAATTAATGGCCTACATCCCGCCACAAGCTGTCCTTATTTTTCATTTTTCTAGTTTAGCTCAGATCTGACTTTTAATTGGTTAATCCTAACATGCCCACAAGTATATTTTTAGTGCTGATATTAGGACTTCACCCCGATTTTTTTAACTTTCAGAGGTAACGATTTGTTTTCAAATTTCCCAAATAAATCATTTTTATCATAAGTTATGGACCATCGCCCTAAGAAGAACGATTATAGCTCCGAAACATGAAATTTTTTGTATAGCGATCCAAAATGTTTTATTGTATTTCATTATGATAAAAATACTTTAATAATATTATATATATATATATATATATATATATATATATATATATGTGTGTGTGTGTGTGTGTGTGTATATTGCGTATATTTTGACTGCATTTTTTAAAATTTTTAGACAAGTTTTGACTACTTATTTTCAATAGGATACTTTCATATTCACGACAAGCGTCTTAGTAAGAGAGAAAATTACCATGTTGATACATATTCTTTTATTCGAAGTACTTTCGACATTAATACAATGTCATCATCAATGTAGATTTTTTTTCTTAAGACAAAATTGTTGCGTTCATCTGAAAGTTAAAATGTTTTAACTGTGAAGTGAAAAAGGCTATGTTTCTGTACAATACGATTTCATTTTGACTATGTAAACCTTAGGGGAGGTATATTTATATATATTATATATATTTAAAAACATCTTTTTCTTTCTTTTTTTTTTAAACACCCTGGGGATGACATTGTACTAATGTCGAAAGTACTCGGAATAAAGGAAGATATATCAACATGGTAATTTTCTCTCTTCATTTAATAAGAGTACTAAGAAGTTTATCCCTGAATATATATATATATATATATATATATATATATATATTAAGCATTGTGCCCCAAGCAAGGCATGAAGCCACTAGGATGCAGGGGGTTGCGGAAGATTTGGAGCGAGAGCAGATAAGAGTGATAGGAGAAAGGAAGAGGAGAAGGATAGTGGGTAGATCAAGGTAATTGGAGATGTCGATTGACATTACATTTGAATAGTTGGAGATTATAGCTTTCAGGGAAAACAGTAATTGGGGAGGGTGTTCCACTGGCGAGAGGTGCGAGGTATGAAGCTATTGGAGTAGAAGAGACGGCTACATTTGAAGGTTTCTACGGTGTAAGGGTGAGAGCGGGATGCCAGCCTCGTGGGCGCTTGAATTCATGGAGTCTGGGAACCAGAGAGAGCAGCTCATCAGAGCAGTTACCATGGAAGTATTTGTAGAAAAGACAGAGAGAGGCGACGGCGCGTCTGTGAGAGAGTGACTGCAAACAAGACGCTAGATCAGGGCCAATTGGATTACATATCCTTCTCTGGATCTTGTCAAGAACTCCGAGGTAAGCAGAAGGTGCTCCAGCCCATATATGGCAGCAATACTCCATGCAAGGGCGAATGGTTGTTTTGTATATTTGAAGTATCGATTCTGGGGAGAAACATTTCCTGGCGCGGCACAGAGAGCCAACTTTCCTCGCGGTGGAAGAAGCAATTGACTCAATGTATTTGTTCCATCTCAGGTCAGCAGTCAGCGTGAGACCGAGCAGACGCAGGGAGTTGCTCTCAGAAGTTGACTATCAGACATTTTAATCCCAGGGGGGAGGAAGGATCTCTATGGTGGTTAATGGATATATATATATATATATATATATATATATATATATATATATATATATAAGTATGAGCGTGTGTGTTAAGAATATATATATCATCCTACACCGCTAACACGACTCGGAGTTTCATGCACAGCGTAATTTTCAGGCACTGAAAATCAAGCACGGTTTATATATGCGATATTTATATCTAGAAAACAGAACATGTCTGTGTGTGTGTATGCTATATATGCATGTCCACATTTCTCAACCGATTTCGATGAAATTAGACAGAGATACTGGAAATTTATTAATTTATTAAGAATAATTTTTAATCTCCAGAATCCCCCAAGTTTGGCAGAAAATTTGATAAAACTAAATGTGGGCAAGACTTTTTGGCAAAACCAAGTTATACGTGAACAAAATTTTTTACTGGATGAGCTGATGTTCTTTGCAAAACATATGTCATGTTACGGGTTTTATGTAGAGCGCCTTTTTTTTTATTTTTGCTCTATTGGCTTCACACAAAAAATGCAAAAAATGTGACAAATTCGTACTCCTTAAATTGCGAAGGACATGTCAAAAAACATGAGGTGGGGGGAGTAGCTTTCTATACTAACAGTATACAGTGGGGGGGGGTGCAGTTATACAATTACATCCCCATATACACCCAGGCAACACTGCGTACCTCGGCTAGTATCTATCAATATATATATATATATATGTATATATATATATATATATATATATATTAGTGGTATAATTATGACCATAGAATATTAGTGTTTAAGCCTTTTTATTATATATATATATATATATATATATATATATATATATACAAGTATATAATTGGTATATACGGAATGAATTCCAATAACCAAAAATTACTATTCTTAAAAGAGTGCTCAATACAAAGTAGAGCAGATATAATTATTTTTTATAAAAAAAAAATTATAACATAAGTATGTTATAAAATCACTACAAAAATAGCCATTTTGTTTCAACACAATCTGTGCCTTATCAAGTGATGATTTTGATGGCTATTTTTGTAGTGATTTTATAACATACTTATGTTATAATTTTTTTTTTTTATAAAAAATAATTATATATATATATATATGTGTGTGTATGTATCTATGTATGTATGTATATGTGTGTGCGTGTATGTGTGAGGGAGATAGAGGGAGAGAGAGTATTAGTACCTCTGTTAATTTTCAATTTGATTTATCTCTGTATATCTATTTATGAAATAATCAATATCAATCTAGCTATCTTTTGTTCTATCTATTGTCACTGACACACTGAGAGATATATTTCCATAAAGGCTCAACTGATTCTAATGTATTCGCTGTGCAATAATGTCCGATTATCCTGTCTTCTATGTTTGATGCTTTGTGAATAGCGCGCACCTGAAGACGGACCTGTCAAGTATTCGGTGTGTAAAAGTGGCGAGATTAGAGCGGAGAACGACAGATGGGATCTGACAGAGAGAAGCGAAAAACAAAAATAATTCATAAGTATCGTGTCTCAAACTATTTCCCTAAGAATGGATATTTCTATGCGCACAAATGCGTACACGGACCGGAAAGGGAGTGCCTGTTCATAGTATGTGTGTGTGTGAAAGATTTCCAGAAAGAAAACTCTTTTCGACAGTCTGTGCAATCTCAATTTCCAATGATGGAAACGTTTACACCCACCTCACAATTCTAATATTTACACAATGATACATACATACATACATATATATATATATATATATATATATATATATATATATATATATATAACTATGAACTTAAAAAGCCAGGCAAACCTACCTAGGTTTCACCTACGCAGATCGTCAGGGCCAGCGTAGGTGAAACCTAGGTAGGTTTGCCTAACTTTAGGTTCATAGTTAGATTTGCTCGACTTAGTGTATTGAGCACTTTGCTTAGTTACTTTTGTCTTACTCGTGTTGGAGGAATTTTTTTCTTTGGACTCTGAGCTTGGATTCTGGTCGATTGTTTTCGCCTGAATTACATGTTCTTAGTTCCTCCTTTTTTATGTCTTATTTCTCCTTGGGTATTAGTTTGTTCAGTTACAAGCCAATACACCTAAGGTTTGTCCGGACGAGTATAATTACTTATAATTATATTGGGCACTTCGACGTGGTGTAAATGGTTAGAAAGCTTGTCCCGCTAGATCAATTACGACTGAGTAGTGAGTTCAATCCTCACTGGGTGCCCCATACT